CGCCAAAATAGAGTTTTTCCTGCTCATAACCTGTATGGCATGGAAAAATCTGACAATTTTTGCACTGAATGGGCATAAGAAGTTGTTTGGCCTCGCTTTCACAGATGAATGTACCTTGCACTGCAAAGTCATTATAACTTCCATTGCCGAACTGTGGAGTTGGCAGATTACCGAACTATTCGCCGGAAGGAAGGTAATAATGGCAAGAAGCCTTGACGATGCCGACTATGATATCGCAAAGGCATCAAGTCTATGGTCTTATGCTGGAAATTGTCATGACTTTGGACAAGATGCAGTCATCCGTGTCGCCTTGACGACACGGCCAAGTTGCAAAAACTATGTCTATCTGAAAAGACGCATTGAGTTGGTATATTCTCTGTTTATTTAATAAGAAATAATTTTTTTGTCGAATTAAGGGTCAAGACGGAGCGGAGCAGACTCACATGCATGAAATGCCGGCCACCCGCCGCCACCGCCACCGCCACCGCCGTTGCCAGGATAGCAGTCGGCAAATCCGTCAACTCCGTGGTACAGTTGATGGTAGGCGGCTGCCGCCGCCATCGGATAGGCTCCAGCAGGCATGTTCCTGCCTCCGGGGCCGAGCAGATGCTCCATTCCGGTGAGACCACCAGCCACGACAGCGGCAGCAGCTGCGGCAGCAGCAGCAGCGGCAGTGGACGCTGTCGTCGGCGACGACGGTTGCCGTTGGGCCGACGGTGACGGCGAGCCTCGTGAAGCGGGCGGTCCGACGGCGACAAGTGACGGCGATGGTGGCCGCTGGTGTGGAGGCTGGCCGAGGTGGGCATGCTGAGGGTCGGAGGGGAAAACAAGCTGTTGCTGCTGGTGTTGGGGCTGGTTGGAATGTTGGTGTTGGTGTTGATGTTGATGATGTTGATGTTGATGTTGATTTTGATGTTGGTGAAGTTGGTGTTGGTGTTGATGAAGTTGGTGGTGGTAGTGGTAGTACATCGAGAGGTGGTCGCTGGGGCCAAGGAAGCTGGGAGCCTCGAAGAGGCTCTGAGGACCGGTTGAGTGGCGATGCGGCGGAGGCGACAGGCCAGCTGAGAAACAACCGGCCAGTTGGGCCATAGCGCCCAGAGGCGGACTGGCGGGCGCCTGGGCGTCGTAAGCGAGATGACCACACGCCGGGTCCATATGAGTGTAGAAGGAGATGGGACCATTGACTCCATTCGACCGGCCGGCCGGTTGTCTGTTGGGGAATTGTCCGAGGTGGATGGAGGCCAGGCTGTTGACGGACGAAGCCGACGAAGACGACGAGACGGAGGAGGATGAGGCAGCAGAAGAGGAGGCGGGGATGGAGGAGGAGGAGGTTGGTGCAGCGGACGGGGGGTTTGATTGGGAGGCGGTGGCAGCGGCGCTGCTACAGTCGAACAAACTACCGGGCAGATGGGCTGGATAGCCTGCGACCGGACTGGTGCCGGAGGAGGGGGCGTGCAACTGGCAGGAGAGGTGGAAGTGGGACGGCTGATGTGGCGGTGGCTGGCTCTGGGGATTGACATGATGCGGATGACCATCAGGAGGCTGGTGTTGCAGCATGTGATGTGGAGGAAGCGAGTGCGTCTGTGACATGTGCTCACTCGGATGGGCGTGTTGGAGTCCGGGTTGAGTGTGCTGATGCTGGTGTTGATGTTGGTACTGGTGCTGGTGTTGTGGCTGATGAGGATTCGGATGGTGCTGATGCTGATGTGAATGCGGTGGAGGCTGAGACTGAGACTGAAGCTGAATATGGGAATGAGGATGAGTATCTGGAGCCGACGGATGGTGAAGAGGATGGTGGTGATGGTGTTGGGGATTAGGGTGGGCAAGAGAGTGGGATTGGGCGTGGGGATGGTGGTGGTTCATTAGGCCGGAGGCATTCTGGCTGCCGAGGTAACCGGATCCAGTGGAGCCGAGCCCGGCAGCAGCTGCAGCGGCGGCCAGCACGGCGGCAGTTGTCGTGGTGCTGGAGACGGCGGAGGTCATCGGTTTCTTCTGCTTCTCCATCGGCTTGTGCTTTCGGCGTGGCCGGTACTTGTAGTCCGGATAGAGGGTCATATGGTTGGCGCGTAAACGCTTGGCCTCGTCGATAAACGGCTTTTTGTCCTTTTCCGACAGACTCTTCCACATGGAGCCCAGTCGTTTGCTGATCTCGGAATTGTGCATCTTCGGGTTCTCCTGAGCCATTCGACGACGCTGGCCTCGCGACCATACCATGAAAGCGTTCATCGGTCGTTTGACACGCTCTTCCTTCTTGCTGACGCCACTGCCACCGCCACCAGAGCAGCTGGTGTTGACAGCGTTGGCGGCGTTGGAAGTGATGCCACGCCCAATAATTTCACCAGTTGTCAGGTTACCGTTTGCCATGGCTGGAGGACAGGTCAGGCCGACGAGTCCATTGCCACGGCCGGGAAGGCAATGCTGTAAACGGGCAAAGGAGAACAAAAACGATGGGAATTATTTGATGAGAAAGTGGTGGGGATCCTCATTAATGGCATCCACTTCTAAAGTGCTGTGTTACTGAGGCAATGCCTTCGCAACAATCTGTGTCAAGATACCTAAGCCGTATTCGTCGTTCTGCGTCGAATGGGCAGATGCACTTAATATTGCTCCACATACCCCTGATCCATGCGGGCTCCGACGTGGTTGGACGCCAAGGTGCTGCTTCCGAATGTGACTACTAACTGAATAGCAAGTAGGGCTTCAACTGCGGAGCAAAGAAAATCCTGCTCCTCTAAATAAACCAAGAAAGGCTGCCCTTCGAGGAATCCCTTAATTCACCTTAAGCAAACTCTACTTATGCTTACTCGACGGATGAAAAAGTAGATGTTTTTATTTTATTCAAGTTCGATTCAAACTGTAGCCCTTCAATAACAACGTCTCGCCAAGATGTGTATGAATCATTTTGGAGTACTGTTGGGGCGACTGATAGACCTAGGCGAGGTTAATTCAGTAGTCCACCTTGGATAAACAAACCTTTCGGGATACAAGGGAATTTGAAAAGCAATAGAATTTCGAGACAATGTGGCAAAGCCCTACTATCAATCCGTAAATAATTTGAAACGACCTACGGTAATTAGGTTTAAACTCACCGTCACACTGATCACAAAAAATTCAACAACGTAAATAGATTGGATTCCATAATTACGTACCCAGTGGCGGTCATTAAACTTTTCGTTTCGACGTCAGTAATAGTTAAACAACAACAGCAACTACTAATTTCATAACTATACCCACCACCACCACACCAACAACTACTACTGCTACTTTTATAATTACTATTATTCCTATTACTACAACTACGGTTACTATTATTATTCCTACCACTACTAATATTATATTTCCTCATCTTCCTCTTCCTTCTCCTCCTCCTCCTTCCATATTATTATTATTATTATTACATCTACTACATCCGATAATACTTCTAACAATAATACTTACATAGAATAGAAGTAGCTTTGTCATTTGCAATAGAAAACACGTACATTTTAATAGAAAATCCCAAAATAAATGAGTTTATCTAGGCTCAGCTTGCCTTGAATGTAAACTCTGCTCTGCGATTCATTAGGACCCATCAAAATCTAGTGGAATTGTAAGGTCACAATAATACTCACGACCCATTATGAAGTCTCGTCGAGGGTTCTGGATGATATGGCATTTTTGTTGGCAAAGCCAGGTTAAATTCAATAGCATCCTGAGGCCTAGTCAGATCGTTCTGGTGAAAACTCAACTATCATTTTTTAAATCAGCCTAATCAACCTTGGGTGACTACGCTGTTATTAAGCCTTAATGATCGAGGAAAAATATTCCTCTTTCTTTAAATTACTATTGGCTATCACTGCTGGTATCTTAAAGTTGCCCACATCTAAACACAAATGCACACAAGTTTCGAATTTGAATATGACGTAAGCCGTGCAAGCCCGTCTATCCTTCACAAAGATTCAGGGGTTTAGGGTAATTATAAAGCCAGTGAATTGTTCATACTCGTTGGTGTGAATTAGCCGTAGGAATGTTCTAGTGCTTTGGAGACTTCTGTCAAGTAGCATGTGATAAGGAAGAAGGAGTTTCCATTCCCTCGGGGGAATCTTTAGTTTATCTTTAGTAGGAGTCTACTGTCGTCTTCAGTACACAAGTTCATTGTTTTTTGCAAGCATGAAGACCAAGATTTGATAGACTCTGAATTGGTGGCAGTCTTATTCTCGCAACTTTATCGCATTTCAGGGAGATTTGTAAAAACATACTCTCACTGCATCCTCTGCAACTGTTGTCTTGTATTCGTAAAGAATCCGACCGTTGACTAGCTACACTTCCGGGATCAAGGTCGACAATAGTAAATGTGAAGTGCCGGCTGTAACATAGTGTCACAATTTGTCAAGGAGATCATTTTCTATCCTAGTGCATTTCCCATCTCATAAAAAAGCAATCTGAAGACGCAACCTCTGTCTTAACATATTTTCCATCCCCTTTACATCCATTCAGCAATTATCTTCAGCAAACTTCTATTAGCCTGCATCTCGTCAGGGCGTTATTTCCATAACCGACCCCGAACGTACGATAGAATCGATGAATTTTGATTCTCACTCTTCTCACCCTTTTCAGTCGCCTTGACTTGAAACTCATGAAATCACACCCTCTTCCTCCCAACACACTCCTTAAGACTTAAGGTATGATTTGTCCACACGGTCACAGCTGGAATCGATAGTCTGGAATTCACCATCTTCCACTTACTCACTTTTTGCTCTACCAGTCCCTTTATTATATCCCTTCGACTCAATCGTGTCGGTGTGCTTGTGTTGATAAATTGCAGTCAGGCCTCAACTTAAGGGAGAATCCCATGATGAAGTGAGCATGCCGCACGAAGCAATTGGTGTCAGACCTTTGGTCTCCATTGCACTCTCGAGCAGATTGTCTGTATGCCCAGACCTTGGCCTTTACATCACTAGTGGGGACCTTCTGGTTTCTTTAGTTTCCAATGGACTTATCCTTGAAAATATGGCCTCTTATTTATTACCATTTTTCTTTATCTCAGATGACTCCGTTTCTAATAAGCCTGCCGACTTACGATTTCTTCAAGTTACAGGTTCTTGTCCAACCATTATTTATGGTTTGAAAGCCTATTGGCACCTCTAATAAGTAGTGCCTGGCTTTGCCTAAAAGGTTACACCATCACCGTGACACACTGGCACCAGTGACGGCGTGGCGGAGTGGCGACTCAGTCACAAACCCCGCGACCTTTCCTGATGCCACTGCATATAAATTTAGGAATATTTTCAACTTTTTCGATCTACCCTTTTCCTCTATCCAGTTGATGTTGTGTTGCATCATGGTAACTAATTCTGCCATTTCGTGTGTTTGTGGATAGATGAAACTGCCGAGTTGGATGCTCCTCTCGTTTTTTCATTGCACCTTTACGCAAAGTCATTCCAGGCGGTACACTACACGCCTTTCTTCCTTTATTTTCGGAGTGCACATCCTATTTTGTTATAATAATCTCCAACTTGCCATCTTCTCATTTTGGCCCGCATAACTCTTTGCCCAAGCTCTATTTGATACCAGTTGCTGAGACGCATCCGAGTCAATTTTCCCACTTCTTTCTAGAATTTCATACCTGTTAGCCCTCGGCGATTATAAAAGGACATGAGAAAAATGGCAGATTATAAAATGGCCCGGAAAGCACGACAAAGTGGCGAAAATTACCGCCCTTTTTGCACGTTGTGCTGCCTAGCTCTCTCTCTCTTCATCACTCTCTCTTGCCTTCAGAGGCCTTCTTGAGGTCGGCATGTCCTGTTCTGCTCTCTCATTCGCCCAAGCCTTCGTCTCCTCCACCTCTTCAGGGACAGTCTGATTTCGACCTCGTCTGAGGAGGAAATGGTGTCTGAGCTCATAGACATGACACCGGAAGAGACGAATTCTGTCAATTGGCTTTCGATTTGTGGCCAAGAAAGGGCTGTTTGACTTGACGACCTGAAAACTGAGCCACCCTTTCATGACTATCCTCACCCTCCTGTCCAACTTCGCCATCAGAGTGAGCCCAGAATTCACATTTGTCCGAGAAAAATTGTATAATTTTTTTTGCAAGGCAGCCAATTTAACCCGCGAATGATAAACATTGCCTTCAAAAGAAAATTATACCGTTTGGCAGTCTTCCGGGGAGTACTCAAAATTGTGGCTGGCCTCAAAAAACGAGAGTTTTTGTCAAGTGACCTAATATAGCTTCGCCAGTAAAAGACGACTTGCAATGTATCACCGCCAATTAGATTCAAAAGCGGATGCTGGCAATATCTGTAAGACTTCGCTTCTACACTCGATGATACAACTTTACTGAGCCCACTTCCATTTCGAGTGAAAGTGTGTGTGATGAAGAGGTTTCAAGGTGAATTGCACCAGAAAACAACAGCGGATTCCTCAAGCCATCGGCAAAATTCTTCGTTGTCCCCAAGGCAATTGCCTTCGCTTCTTTCTAATTACTTTGAGCTAGC